TGTGAAATTTATGTTAAACTTTTTCATTTAATTTCAGTATTTCGTTTTATCAATATACTGACATCCCCGGTCGCAGATTCGCTCAAATTAATTATTGTATATGGAATTCAAAGTATATAGAATAAAAATATTTGGCAAACAAAAACCAAATTGTCGATTCATGCAACTTGAAAAATATTAAGAAATCTGTACCAATTTGTTCATAAAACGGAAGTTTTATTGTATTTATTTTTAATTTAAAACTTTGGTTAAAACATGCAATAACATGGTAATAGAATCTTCCTAGATTTCATTCAACAAATTAACAATAATCCTCTAGCAACAGTCAAATATACAAAAAGAGAGTATACTACCTTAATTAAACCAATGCAATTAAAGGACTTTAACTTCAAGCCGATACTCGAGGGCGCTAGAGGGGTAAAACGCGAAATCCGGCGATGTGATGCGACGGTGCTTAAGGTAATAGCATCCGGTGGGCGAAGCATCGATCCACGAAGAACGCGTCTTGTTTCAGCGACAAGAGCGTCGAGGAAAATAGTTGTACCCTGTTTACCGATCACGCCTCGCGGATAACGGCCCGGGAAACGGGCCGGAAACCTATGAACTCGGACCTCTTACTGACCTAACGACCACCCGTGCACGGGTTATGGTTATTGCGTCGCGTTACAGTATCGTGAAAACCATATCTCAAACCCTCTTCGGGAAAGAAATGGTCTGCTGAGATAGAGAAACAATATATAAACTGGATTAATTGGTTCCTTTTCGTGAAACCAAGCTTCCTTTATCTTTGCAAACTGCATGTTCCGTATAATGTTATTTAATACTGCAAAATTGAACAAAAACTTGTATTGATATCAGATATTACTGTTGATTTTTAGAAACGTATTAAAGAAATTAATAAGCAAAAATAAGAGGAGAAATAAAATTGAGTGTAAATAACTAATGTAATATAATTTAAAACACGTATACGGTACAAATCTCTGATAAAACAAACAGGACTGGAAATGTATAAAATGAAAAATGAGTGTAGAAGTTTTTGCAATATGTAAGAAATATTGTGAAAGTATTACGATAGTGAAGAAAGTACGTAAAATAAGAAATTAAAGAAGCGCTATTAAAGCAAGTGACCCGAATGTGTTAAGAGGTGAAGCTATTTTTATTTAGGAATCTCGGATCGAGATCGTAATTCTTCTTCTTAATACCGTATGCGTCCGGGTTTTTCCTCCGATGCCGAGGGTGGATCGGGAGGTGGCTCGGGGAAAAAAGCGTAGTAATTAATGAGCACAGCAGTGGGACACGATAATGAGACTTCTGTCCGTAGGTACCTACGCTCGTACGGAACGCAAAGCGAACCGTTTTTCCCTCGCGATACTTTTGCGCTATTTTTATGTTATTAACGCGGCGCCCGTAACAACCGTGGCGATACGAAACACAGCGCGGCAGCGCGCAGTATCCCTTTTAATTATTCGCTCGGTACGCACGGCCTTATTTGTTGCAATTTCAATCAACGTTCAGCCGAATTCAAGCGCGCGTTTCGCTCGTATATCGATTGCAACGGATCTCGATTGTATCGCGCCGAGGTTTTTGTACCCGAGAATTTCATATGTCATGGCCGACTCTTTGTGTAAAATTAATTAAAAATTTATAACGGAACTTGTAATTAAGAACATATTCATCATCATGAATTGAGAGTTTTTTAAATTTAATCTGTGTATTAAGTGTGATGATAAAATAAACGATGATGCCGTATCAGATGGAAAATTGAAATATTTCGTGAAATTGATATTGAAGTGTGGTGAAAATAATTTTATATTTTTTTTAACGAGATGAAGCTTACCTGCACGAAGGGTGACCTCTCGGGAAAGCACGGTTCCGACCGAGCTGGTCGCACGGCACCTGTACCGCGCGTTGTGCACCTCCGCACGAAAATCCTGCGCCAGAAATGGCGGAAAGTAGAGAGTGCCGTTCCCAAGAAGCTGCCTGAAACAACGGAAGCAATAGAGAACAAAGAAATTAGTATTCCGTGTTCGTATCATAGTGTATGCAATCGCCATGTAAATTCTATCTTTATACTTCCTCTTACAATCTTTCAAGTTCTGTACTTTGAGAAATGCTAATCGTCTTATTTGAAAGTAATTCAAATAGTGAATGGCATTGATTTTATTATAGTAATTTATAATACGTAAAATAGAAACACATAGACTCCCCTCAAATGGTCGATTGTAATTCATTCTAATTTAACTATGAATTCTCCATTTTTAATTTACATTTTCTATAAAACGCTAAACTAGATACTGATTGAAGCAACTGAAGAAGTAACGATTCTTTTCGATGGTATTGCACTATATTTAGTCGAGACCCGTGTGTCGATTAATAAATCGAGTTCACCGACAAACGGGATAAAACATTCAGCTTGCGCGTCATGGCGGCTAAAAATGTCCCACTATATGTGTCGGACTATCGATTTCTCGGTGGGTCAAACCGGTTTCCGTTTGTTAACTCCAGACTCGCGAGAAAATTGCAATCACGATATTGCATTAACATTAATAACGCTGGACCGAGTCTAACAATTTATATCGGGAAATTCCTGAACACATTTTCATTTAGTTTTTTTGCACTTTTTATTGAGTAAAACGAGTCAAAGGGTAAAAAGTAATAAAATGAGTTAAAAAAAAAACTGACGATGTTAAAAATACTTGAAGCTTGTTGAATTAATTTCTTTTTATATTTGAATAAATTAAGATACAGACAGTTATTTTTATAAAATTTATTATTGATTAGTTTTCAATGATGACAATTTTTAGAAGTGAACGCGAATGATCGTTTCTGGTTCTTGTTGCCTACTTCGGAGATGATTCAATCGACTTGAACAAATTTGTCTTGCGTGAGACGTTATTTGATCACGAGACAGCCGGGTTTACGAGCGGAAGGATATTTGTATAGTCAAGTGGCTCGGTAGAATATGTATAATGTATAGCGTTACACCGAAATTGGTACACCAGTTATCGTAACCCATCTCCTTGTACGGTTGAGAGAATATCCGTATTCCACGTTGATACGCGTGTCAAATTGCTAAGAGTATTTGCAATAATTCTATTCACATCCCAATGCATGCGATTATATCATAGTTCTGTCATCGCCAATTAGAAATCTACGTACATACAATGTGTCTCACGAACTCTGTCTACTTAAATACTATCAATATTTCTCGATCATACGAGAAAATGTTATTTATAGAAGTTTTAGGGTTTGAGAAATTACATTATATGATATATATGGTATTCTTATACATATGTGACGCATACAGAAGATATAGCGGTCACGCTTATTTCTTTAAATAGAATGTCCAACTTCTTATGCTCGATTTCAATCGATTGGCGTATTCTGAATGTAAAAGATAATGATAATGTAATAAACCATTATATATGAAAAATCTTGTAGAATTAAATAACATAAAAAATAACATAGATAGCTTTTTAAGAATTCATTAAATAAGTGGAACAAAATGCGCTGCAGGATGTATCCTAGTAGAATAGATCAATGCGTAGTCAGACCATCGCTGTTGGGACAAACAGTCCTGCTTTCAAGAGACAAATACAACAGCAGATCAATGAAACCTAGTAATTAAGTTTAGAACGAATCGAATGGCTAAATAGAATATGATCGCGTTAGGGCAAACAGGCAGAACAGGCGCGGTGTTGACGGACACAATACCTAATCAGTCTGTTGCAACAGCGGCAGCGTTTTACCAAACACAACCGGTCGCCGATTGTGCAAGTAATTAGTACTAGTGGCTGGGTTACTTCGCTGGTTAAGTAGCCGCGTTTGAGTGTAGTTAAACAAGTAGTACATGACACAACGCTTTGTCTGTCGGGGCTATCATAACCGCCCAAGGACCACGCGAATACGCGTAATTATGCAGTGAATGCAAAATGGTTTTGTAATTAAGTAAGAAAATTTATACCTAATGAAAATGCAGAGCCAACAATTGGAGTGTCTAAAAACAGAAAGGATAATTTACATGAACTAATCTTATTTAATTTTGATTACAGAATCCTATTTAATTTTCTTCACAGAAAGTAATCAGTTTAATGTTCTTAAGGTTGCTCTTCTATATTAGTCAAGATAAGACTTAAGAATTCACTGTAATTACCAAGCATTTAAGATGTATTAAATGTTATGTACTTTAGTTATTGTTGTCGTTAATAACTGTACGGTGGATGTGATCTCAATAAATGAAAAACAGAATTTATTTTAACTTACAAGTATTGTATACTGAGTTCTACCATAATTTCTTTATGAACTTGTGTAGTATTTTATAATCATTTGATTATTCGTTATCTTCGTCTTGGTTAAACTGTCGGTGATATTGATTTATTTAGAGGACTCATAAAAAGCATAGCAGCATCATTTTGTGATGGATGAAGAAATGCGGTTGGAACGAGTGGAGGAACATTTGCTTACATCATCTACTCGTACGCAACAGCATCGGTGCAACCGGCACACCGTCGTTGTTGTCATCCACACTTTTTCCGCGTGTCGAGTGTCATCCACAGATTTTCCCGAGCTGCACACGTGTCCCATTTCGCGTTAACCGCGAGTCTCTCGATCATGCGTCACCCAGTTAGCGTTGTAAAATTTTTTTTTAATTGTAATCAACAAATTATTTTCGTTCGGAAACAGGGATGATAGTTTCCGAACGGGAATTTCGAGTTTCGGTGCGAGAAATAAAAGCGAAACGGGGGAAAGGTGAATAAAAAAAATAAATGTGGGCGAATTTGACGGTGAGAACGTAATGAAAGTGTCCCGAGGATGAGAAATAAAATCTAACGCGGGAAGAAAAACTAAATTGAAAGACGCGGAGGGAAAAAGTGAACTGTAACAAAAGTTTGAAGTAAATAGAAACGGAAGGCGTGGCAGGGAAAGAAAATGTAATGAAGGAAGGGGTTATTCGAGCGAAAAAGTCTTGCGGAACGAGCAAGGGGAAACCTGTTTCCGAGTTCCCGTCGGCAGCTCGTTGATCGCGTTACTTTTATATGAATGATTTTACCGGATGCAATTTCTTTGTACGCCAGTCGATTTTACTTCTTGTTCTCCCGTCTTCATTTCTCTCTTGGCATGTTCTCGCTCGTTCCTTCATTTATATTTACTTCCTTCTCTTCTTTTTTTTCCTTCTACCACCGCTTCTTCTCATCTGTTATCTTTTATTGTTCGACACTTTCCTTGGTGTTTCCGGTTTAATTGTTTCCTCCTCTATTGATCTCAGTTCTCTTCGTCGTGACAAATAATTCTCTCAATACTCGTTCAGTTTTTACTTGCAATACCCATTGTTTTTATATCACTTTTGTTCTTTTTTATATTATTTTCTCTTTTTGTACTTCTGTTTTTTTCTTTTTAACAAAATCGTGGAATGCACAATTCCTCCGTTCGATTTCTCTTTTACTAAACATTTCAGTTTCAGCTTTTCTCTGTCCGTACTGTTCTATCTTTTTCTACTCAAACCCAATCTCTTTTCCCTTTCACGCGTGCATCAGTTACATTTATCCTTCCAATCCGCTCCCTCTCCCTATATCTTTTCCGTCGGATGATCATCCCCCTACCCGGTATATCGGCCCCGCTACTGAATTTTCGCCGGATGCGAAAGCTCCGCGTCTGAATGACTAAAAACCGAACAGCAAAAGGGAAAATTCGATGGGATGGGATGAAAACGAGAAAAGGGAGGAAAGCTTTGAATTCTTGCAACTTCTTTGCGGCTGCGGTGCCGATACACGTAGGCGCAGAATTTCGCCTCTGAATTTTCGACTACTTCAAGAATACGTCTGGCCTCTCTTTTACCAGATCGAGTACCTATCGATTAGTCCGCGGCTCAAGAAAGGCGAAAGTAAGAGATGCAGAGAAACCCGGTGGTCGATCGCATCGCTTACCCTTTTTTTTTTGACGAAGAATAAGTAGAGTCTTCTGCAAGGTAAAAATCTTTCGAAGCTTTGAAGTTAAAAGACTGTGAGAAACTCTATGTTTCTGTTACACGCGTTTTAAATATTTTCTAAGAAATTGGAAGGATAAGGTAAAGGGTGCGGACCATAAAATGTTTATCGAATGAAATAAATCAGCAGTCTATTTATTAGATGTACAAAATTAAATTCTCGAACGAATAGTATATAACCTGTAAAGAATCGTCGGAACTAAATCTAAAACGAAAGAAAGCCCATATTATCCCAAAAACAAGGAGGAAGAGTGGAAGCTCTACGGGAACCGCGGATTTAGGCGTGACACGGCTTCCAGCATAATTCCGCTTCAGCTATCGCGGCCCGTTTGTAAGATCCGCGTTTTCGGGTTGAAAACTCGCGATTTCGTAAGAGTGCGCCGTGGTACGCCGCGCCGCGTGTTGGAGTCGGAGGATGGGTCTGGCTAAGCGGATTAGCCTGTCGGGATTTAGAAGTTCCGAGCCGTTGTAAATTGCGGCAGTTTCGAACGGAGCCCGTTTCCGGAACTCACTGCTCTATTGGAAAAATGCTCGACGGGAGGCGATTATGCAGTTCACCTCTAATATTAAACCAGAAGGAACTTCGTTTTCAACAGCTAATTTCATGCTTGCAATGTGCATTTGGACGATATAATTGATCAAATGTTTCTATACGCACTCCATATACAATAGTCGCCTCTATAAAATATTATAACACATTACGCATCAGTTTTCTGCTTTCTTATAGTCTTTTCTTAACTGGCTTATCTCTTTCATCCACTTTGCTCCTTCCTCTTCTCTTTACAAGGGGTTTCTCATCGATATTTCTGTCTTTGCCTTTAACCCTTCATAACTGATGTGCTCTAAGGTTTCTGGTTATTTTAGGTACATACGATATTTGTTTTCTCGTTCTTCTTTTCAATATCTACGCATGTTTCCTCCATTTCCACGTCTATAATTTCTAGTTGGTAGTGTGCAGTGAATATTTTATAATCATTTGATTATTCGTTATCTTCGTCTTGGTTAAACTGTCGGTGATATTGATTTATTTAGAGGACTCATAAAAAGCATAGCAGCATCATTTTGTGATGGATGAAGAAATGCGGTTGGAACGAGTGGAGGAACATTTGCTTACATCATCTACTCGTACGCAACAGCATCGGTGCAACCGGCACACCGTCGTTGTTGTCATCCACACTTTTTCCGCGTGTCGAGTGTCATCCACAGATTTTCCCGAGCTGCACACGTGTCCCATTTCGCGTTAACCGCGAGTCTCTCGATCATGCGTCACCCAGTTAGCGTTGTAAAATTTTTTTTTAATTATAATCAACAAATTATTTTCGTTCGGAAACAGGGATGATAGTTTCCGAACGGGAATTTCGAGTTTCGGTGCGAGAAATAAAAGCGAAACGGGGGAAAGGTGAATAAAAAAAATAAATGTGGGCGAATTTGACGGTGAGAACGTAATGAAAGTGTCCCGAGGATGAGAAATAAAATCTAACGCGGGAAGAAAAACTAAATTGAAAGACGCGGAGGGAAAAAGTGAACTGTAACAAAAGTTTGAAGTAAATAGAAACGGAAGGCGTGGCAGGGAAAGAAAATGTAATGAAGGAAGGGGTTATTCGAGCGAAAAAGTCTTGCGGAACGAGCAAGGGGAAACCTGTTTCCGAGTTCCCGTCGGCAGCTCGTTGATCGCGTTACTTTTATATGAATGATTTTACCGGATGCAATTTCTTTGTACGCCAGTCGATTTTACTTCTTGTTCTCCCGTCTTCATTTCTCTCTTGGCATGTTCTCGCTCGTTCCTTCATTTATATTTACTTCCTTCTCTTCTTTTTTTTCCTTCTACCACCGCTTCTTCTCATCTGTTATCTTTTATTGTTCGACACTTTCCTTGGTGTTTCCGGTTTAATTGTTTCCTCCTCTATTGATCTCAGTTCTCTTCGTCGTGACAAATAATTCTCTCAATACTCGTTCAGTTTTTACTTGCAATACCCATTGTTTTTATATCACTTTTGTTCTTTTTTATATTATTTTCTCTTTTTGTACTTCTGTTTTTTTCTTTTTAACAAAATCGTGGAATGCACAATTCCTCCGTTCGATTTCTCTTTTACTAAACATTTCAGTTTCAGCTTTTCTCTGTCCGTACTGTTCTATCTTTTTCTACTCAAACCCAATCTCTTTTCCCTTTCACGCGTGCATCAGTTACATTTATCCTTCCAATCCGCTCCCTCTCCCTATATCTTTTCCGTCGGATGATCATCCCCCTACCCGGTATATCGGCCCCGCTACTGAATTTTCGCCGGATGCGAAAGCTCCGCGTCTGAATGACTAAAAACCGAACAGCAAAAGGGAAAATTCGATGGGATGGGATGAAAACGAGAAAAGGGAGGAAAGCTTTGAATTCTTGCAACTTCTTTGCGGCTGCGGTGCCGATACACGTAGGCGCAGAATTTCGCCTCTGAATTTTCGACTACTTCAAGAATACGTCTGGCCTCTCTTTTACCAGATCGAGTACCTATCGATTAGTCCGCGGCTCAAGAAAGGCGAAAGTAAGAGATGCAGAGAAACCCGGTGGTCGATCGCATCGCTTACCCTTTTTTTTTTGACGAAGAATAAGTAGAGTCTTCTGCAAGGTAAAAATCTTTCGAAGCTTTGAAGTTAAAAGACTGTGAGAAACTCTATGTTTCTGTTACACGCGTTTTAAATATTTTCTAAGAAATTGGAAGGATAAGGTAAAGGGTGCGGACCATAAAATGTTTATCGAATGAAATAAATCAGCAGTCTATTTATTAGATGTACAAAATTAAATTCTCGAACGAATAGTATATAACCTGTAAAGAATCGTCGGAACTAAATCTAAAACGAAAGAAAGCCCATATTATCCCAAAAACAAGGAGGAAGAGTGGAAGCTCTACGGGAACCGCGGATTTAGGCGTGACACGGCTTCCAGCATAATTCCGCTTCAGCTATCGCGGCCCGTTTGTAAGATCCGCGTTTTCGGGTTGAAAACTCGCGATTTCGTAAGAGTGCGCCGTGGTACGCCGCGCCGCGTGTTGGAGTCGGAGGATGGGTCTGGCTAAGCGGATTAGCCTGTCGGGATTTAGAAGTTCCGAGCCGTTGTAAATTGCGGCAGTTTCGAACGGAGCCCGTTTCCGGAACTCACTGCTCTATTGGAAAAATGCTCGACGGGAGGCGATTATGCAGTTCACCTCTAATATTAAACCAGAAGGAACTTCGTTTTCAACAGCTAATTTCATGCTTGCAATGTGCATTTGGACGATATAATTGATCAAATGTTTCTATACGCACTCCATATACAATAGTCGCCTCTATAAAATATTATAACACATTACGCATCAGTTTTCTGCTTTCTTATAGTCTTTTCTTAACTGGCTTATCTCTTTCATCCACTTTGCTCCTTCCTCTTCTCTTTACAAGGGGTTTCTCATCGATATTTCTGTCTTTGCCTTTAACCCTTCATAACTGATGTGCTCTAAGGTTTCTGGTTATTTTAGGTACATACGATATTTGTTTTCTCGTTCTTCTTTTCAATATCTACGCATGTTTCCTCCATTTCCACGTCTATAATTTCTAGTTGGTAGTGTGCAGTGAAATGCAATTGCTCGAATGTCTTCTGCACCACTGAGTGTATTGCTGCAATTTTTTTTAGAGCAGTACAATAGAGAACCAGTAAAATAAAAGATAGCTTTGACTGATTCATCTAATCCAATACGATTCAATTACCAGAGCAAACATACGTGTCCGATGCTTCGGACTGGGGATTGTTGCACTATGTTTATCCGATCGTATGACGCCCTATGCTACTTGTTCAATTAGTATGTACGTAACGCTTGTACACTAATTGCCTAATTAGATATACAGCGATGACCCCAAAAACTGTTTCCTTTGAGTTAAATGATTCGATATAATATCTGCTTACGCTTGTGAATCTATTCTACGTTACATATTGTGCTATGTACTTCGATATGAGAAATTATCTACGAATCATTTCTTCACTACTTAACAACTGTACGCTGTATACTCGGCTTATCATCTTGTTTTGGGGAGAGCACTCTCACCCTCAAAACAGCATGGACATGCCTGACGTGAGAATTCTATTGAAATAATTGTAAAAGAAGCACAGGTAGAACATTACTATTTTCGTTCTCTCTCGCAAATGGGCTTAAAATGATTGAGGAATGGAAAACGTCGAAAGTAGTATTTATAGTAAATGACTCACCTTAGTCCAGGAACTGCGGTGACGGATCTCTGATCCGGACTGGTTATCCAGGTGACGTGCGGCGTTGGGCTCCCATGAGCGGAACAGCTTAGCTGGGAGCCTGTGGTATTCGAAAAGACCAGAGTGCTTGGTGGCTCGAGAACGAACACCGGACCTTGCTGACTGACCACCAGTTCCCAAATGCAAACTGAAACACGAAACGAAAAAATAAAATAAGAAACGTTTATGATACGTTTACAACTTCTAGTCAATCTCTTATTCTATTTAAAAATAAAACATTATTGTATATTGCATTCCCAAGGAATTAATTCATACCCAATTTTTACTTTACTTTGCAACACTCTTTTCGTCGAATATATAGTTCATAAAATATTTTATCTTCTATTTCATATTACTTTCATTCTGAACGTGTAATCTCAGAACTATATGTATGTTTCGAGTTCTGTTTGCCTTTATTTTTTATTTTAAAGGGTGGGTTGGAGATGAACGTATATGGTCCAATACACGCGCACCAACAACAATAATTCAGAAACCGGAGAAATCAATTCCGGTAAGCCGAATCCGACCTACATTCCGCTCGCATCGATTTGACACTACGGCCGGCCTGAGATTAAACGGGTTCGGTTGCGAGCGACCGCGTCATCGACCCTCTGAAATATTTAATTCGAAATCCGGCCGGATTAAAAACCGTTCGCGATTTATGGCCGGAATCATTTCCCCTCCGTTATTCACGACATCGTTGTTGTTCATCCAGAATTAAACGAGCTTTTTTCTACTACCTCCCCGCTTTTAATGGAATAGCTTTACCCTTCGGTTAAGCCCCTTTGATTAATTCAAATTACTTCGCCTGTGGCTTCCCGTTGGCAATCAATCAATTCCCTATTTTTTACTCCAAAACTTCGCGCAATTCTATATTGATAAAATCATTTTAACTGTTTTCAGATTGACTTTCCTTTTACTTATTCATTTCGGCTGGCTATATTTAATGGTACAGGATCGTGTCTTCACGCAGAAGAGGTCGCAGGTGATTCCGTTGAATAACCGAAAATAGAGATTCAATTTCAGCATTCAAATATAGCCGCGACGATCGATAACCGTGACGCTTTCTCCACGGTCTTCTTTTCTTTGCTAAACTTTCATACTGTATCTTTTGAACGTTATCGAGAACTTGCAATTTTATTTGAAACATCTATACTTTACACAACTAGGATAATATTGTGAAATCAACAAGTGATTGGAAATACTGTATTTCGCAGATTGTAAAATACTTTGGATGAACTTTGTGAGACGATTGACTTCTTAAATATAACAAGAATTGTGGAAGACAGTTTAATTGAAGATTTGAAGAGGTCGACAAGAACTTCTGTTCTCTGTCTTAAAAAGTAAATTAATTTCAGCCGTCCGGTTCAATTTCCGGGTGAGGGATCGTCCGGTTTTAGCGATCCTCAGCAGCATCGGGCCGCGGCGTGAAACGATTCAGCAGGAGGCCGCAACACCCGGAAAACGCAGAGAGCAGCGGTTTTTCCACGCCGCGCTGCACGCAGACACCCGTGAAAACGTTTTCCCGCAGCGTTGTAGAGGCTAATGGGCAAAGATAAGGAGAAGAGTGCAGCACGCGTGCGTAACCCGCGACATCCTCGCCAATGGGAATCGTTAACGCCACTAAATACTGTAGTTAACTCGAGTTTATTCCATGCATTTAGTACGAAATAGGATCTTCTCATTTATCTGTTATATTTCTGAAACAGTCGGATTATACGTTATGCCGTGTTCAAAATGAACGTGAAATTTCCTTTCAATCAATATTTTGTACTATGTCATTAAACCAAATATAATTGATAAGCCATTCTGAAATATCCGAATTTTTGTTGAATTTCACTGTCACGCAGCAATGCGAAAATGTTATTAATTAAGATTTCCGGGACATCATTTTCAAGCACAATTCCGGTTGAATTTCAACGACGCACGCTTAGTAGCGTTAGAGTGTTCGAAATGGAATTTCAATTTCCCGGGGCAACTAGTGTAGGTTAGCAGTCTAACGAGGGGATGCAAATTTGATCCGGCGGGCGTCTGAGCGTGGCGCGTTGAGACGCGCGACGTCAAAACCTCGGCGACCCAGGACTTGGTCGAAATAATTCATCCGATGAATTATTTCCTCCCACGCGACGCCCGTTAACGAGGCTCGAACGCGTTCGTTTCCTTCGCTGCGATCGAACCCGAGGAATCGCAAATTAATTGAATCCGCAATGTAATTGATCAATAATTGATTCCATTTAGTACAATCTTTTACTTATTCTGCGATTCCTTCTTGATAAATCATTTTTAATTTGACCTTTTTCTAAATAGTCAGTTAATTACATTGACCACGTAAATACGTAGAAACTTTTCCCCCAATTCATATAGTATAGCACTTTTTTCCTGTAGCTATAAACCCTTATCAATTATCACCACACTGGATTCAGCGAAACCGCGAGATTGAATCGGATCAATACAATAAAAGGACTTACCGTGGAGCGAGTACGAAGGAGCGTAGCGATTCAATGGAAAACGTAAGTTCATTAAAAGCCACGGTCCGTGATCCGCGTTTAATTAATAACGCGAGACGACCGGACGCGACAGAATCGATACCGATCTTATCGATACCGGACGCAACCCGCACATATACACGCGAAGCCGCGATTCAACCAATGGATACACCCTATATCCGCTTTAATAATTCGATTCCATCCATCCCCCTCTCGATATTCATCGAATATATACAGCGATTTTGATCGAAGAATGGAGGCATTCGTATAAATAGAAAGCGAGCTTTCATTAAATTTATGATAAAAGTCTGTTGAAGAAAGGAGAAGCCGGCAGGAAGAGAGCGCTTCCGGTCGGACCCATTACCGGCACGACAAATCAATTGTCACTTCGAAACGAAACGAGGAGAGTGAGCGATAATCGAAAACGAACTCCGTTATAAGGAGGATTTCTTTTATCCGGTCCATTGACTAAAGGATTTCTACAGTTTATTGCAGACACTCCACTTCTGTATATTGTTCGTTTAAGATTCCTTCGCTGTGTATGCTTTTATGGAAACTCATCGATATTAAACGATGAGCCAAGCAAAATATCAAAAACAAGAAGACATTTTCAAACATTTGTATCTATTTCAATTTCTAATAAAACGTACCAATTTTTGTTCACGTTCTAATTTCTATTCATTGGCTTATTTTTCTATAATTTTAGGTGTTCAAGAATTTTACTTTAAATATTCGCATGATGTTTGAAAATACGAAAAAATCGTAGGCGAACTTGTTAGAATTTGAAGCTCGTTGAATTAATATTTGAAATACTTAAGTGAGAACACGACGTGGAATACTAATCGTATCCCGGAAACGGGAAGGTGCAAACACAATCGGATGCACGGTACGGAGGGATGATCTAGGGTTAAATAAGATCAGAAATGGATCTTGGTTGTCGGACAACGGGGGCGAGACGAGATTATGCATGTGCGAAACTGCGGCTCTGCGTGATGGAGATAGATGAGAGGAGTTCGCAGTGGCAGATGTTCACCGCCGTACAACGTTGCCACCCTCCTGCTAGATTATAATAATGATCAATCTTCCCGTGTTTGCGTTGCGCCCGTTGCCGCGCGCACGTATTTCCTCCCGCCCGGCGATAAATCACGCGGCTGAATTAGCTGAAACCGAAATTGTTTTGTCATACTCCCCTGTTTTTCAATAGTCGAGTTAAAATACTTCCAGTCGATTTTCTGCCATCACCATTTTAATAGAGACATTTTACAATGAATTCAATTTTGTTTTACAAGTACTGTATTATTATTTGAGTAATATTCAGATTTCAGTTAATTATACATTTATTTAGAACACAAGACTGAAATAGTAATTAATATTCAGATTTGTATAAATGCTCTTCAGAATAAATTGCATATATTTGTGAGAATACATTTCTCACTTTTTGAGACAGATTCTCTGTAGACAAGACTGACCTTGTACTGTGTACAACAGCAAGGTATATGTCTGACATTGCGTCTGCTTGTATCACTTGTCGGCCAGTGATCGGGCCTCATCACTTATCTAGCTACATGTAGGGTTGCACTACATGTTGTCTGGCAAAGATCAGAGTCTAAATCAGAGTACTAGTCGTAAATAGAACTGCATAAAAGCTAATTCCTTATTAATTTGAAATATTGTATAACATTACAAAATCATTATTCATATTGTCAAGAATTATTTCGAAGGTACGAAATGAGAAACTGTATAGGTAGGTTTCTAGACCTCGCATCCAATGGGCGATGCCAAATTCACTTTCTGAGTTTGAAAAGTCGTGAAATTTTATAGTACCACCCGTTATCGGGTCTATCCGTCCTGATACGTGAATAATTCGTGTATCCGATTCGGTCTGCGAACCGAACAGCTGGCCACGTCTTCCAAATAATCTGATCAATAATCCCGTCCCCACCGGCCCGCTATCGCGCAGACCAATTTCGGCGACTACCGTCAGAATAATCGGCTCACCGCTCGAGTTTTCCCACCCCCTACCCCTTTCTCTCTCGTGGAAGTGCATACCGCGTGTGGTTTATTCTCGGCGCCGATATTTTCATTGATTTCTTTTAATAAATCTCTTTCACTGATTTTCATCGGAGGTATCTTTCTTGAGTCAATAGTGACTGAAACCTTTTCAAAAAAGACATTTTAAATAAAATTTGAAATTTATATTATTTTATTTTATTTAAAATGTATTAAGTAAGGAAAATTATAAAATATCCATTGACACGATGCACTGAAATAATCTACTTATTTCTTGAACTTTAAAAATTTGCCAGCGTGACGGTGCTTGAAAAAGCAATAAAGCTCGGATAGGAACGGACATAACATTAAACGGCGTCGCTCTATCAATCGCGTGTCAAAGGGCCAGGCAGCATCGATCGACGAGGGCGAAGCTCATTCGTAAGCTCGCAAAATCTGCCAGAATGGTGTGCCTGTACGCGGCACGTGACCCCGCGCTACGTGAGATCCGACAGTTGCAATTTTACCGCATCTTGTCACCATCCAATCCACAATGCCGTCCCCCCCGGTCCTCGCTCGTCCCTGCCTTCGTCCCAACCCTTCACGCTTTTTCCATTTCGCGTTGTTCCACCGATTTCCCTGTCCGGCCACTCCTCTTTCCAGTCCTG